CGTCGAGCTGCTCCCGCTGCTCGTGTGGTGCTGTCAGCTTCGGTGCGTCATTTGCTTGAACTTCCGTCCTTATTGCTGCTAGCTGTTCTCTTGCGGATGGCATGATGGTCACGTCTTTTGTGATGACAACGTCAGGAGAGCGATCCCGAGGCGGTGCTGTCCGGGGATCCCTGGCTGGCGCTTTTGGCGCGTTGGCCTGCGCTGCTGACAGGACGCCCAGCAGCAGCTGGTGAAGAGTCGGCTGGTCTATGTTCCCGCTCAAAGTATCCCTGGCGGCTTCTATGTCGTTTTGGTTGGCTGGCAGCATCTGGCCCGATCCCCCTTCGCCGGCTGCTTCGGCCGCTCCTGCGTTGACCAGGTTATCTCCCGTTGCCTTTGTCCTCTTACCCGTCATTTTTTGATTTTTTTTTTTTTTTGTGACGGAGCTCCTGGTTGTTCCTCGGAGAGTGACAGGTCCGCGGCGATGTCGATTCGTTGTGGTAGAGCGTCGATGAGGCTTGAGGGTAGTCGGTAAGGTCTTGGATAAAAGTGAGAGCAACAATAATAATAAGCTCCAATAGTGTAGGCAGAATGCCGGAACTATGGAGCTGTCAGCTGAAATAGTAAATTCGAATTCTCAGCAAGCCATACGGCTGCCGTACATAACCTAGCGTTCTTACACCATAGACCAGCAGCTTTCGTTCAAGACGTCCATTCTTGCTACAGTCCCAGATTATGGCGTTAGGAAGGCAATGATTTTTAATATCTTACATCGAGGCATTTTATGCCTTTGCACCGCTCTGCTATCGCTCGCGCTTGCATGGGCAATTCAAATTGGAGCGACGGGAAAGCTTGAGAGTTGTCACTTACATCCAAAAATTGAGGAGAGGATACTTAAAGACGTGGGCGCTTGGGGCAGGAGGGGTATAACGGAGGACCTTGTGCTGACCGTCTGCAAGTATTGCGAGACCCACGAGCGGATCACACGGGATAACTGCAACAGCAAGGCTCAGCGGATCTTAATAGATAATGGTACGCACCTATCCAGGTCCGTGGCGACCCTCATCAACCTAGTCCGAGCAGCCATGCGTGGCCATCAATAAGCGCGGGCATAAGCGCGGCCATCAATAAGCGCGACAGCCAATCCAGAAGCTCGGACCACCGAGTAACTCATGCTTTAACCTCCTGTTCTCCATATGTCCTCATTTAACCAAGCTGGGACGTTACCTCGTCTACTATGGTCCTTTCTATCCATTCTATATCCAACGATACAGGCCTTCAGCCTCCTCCCCAAGGGTTCCTAGCGCTCCCTTTGCACCCCACGTTGCACGGTATCTCCACAAGCCTATTTCTCCATAAGCCTGACAGCCCTTCCCTCCCTCCTCCCCCGAGCAGTCATCAGCAGCGAAAACCACGCTTGCACGCTTCCACACCGCGTCCGTGCACCAATCCCCGGAGTAAAAGAAGAACCGAATTCGAATCTAGCACAACCACCCCAACCTTCGGCGCCCCCGGGCTTTGAAAGCAACACTGTCCTGAGCTCAGAGCCAAAAGTGTGTGGCCAACTTCTTTTCCATGCTCCACAAAGAAACAAACTGAAGTATCAGCGAAGGCCACAGGACTTTGCACAGACAGCGCACACGAGTCTCATCTTTCTAATCCCCAACCCTTCAGGTACCGTCTACTTGAACAACCTCATTCCCGGCGAGCGGCTAGGTCCTCATGAGCACATAGGCCTGCTCGTGGAGCTTTACGAAGCCAGTCAGGTGTACAAGTAAGTACGGAAGATTCGTACGATAGGATACAGTACGACGCTCTGCTGGCCTGAATGTATTGCTGAAAAACGCAATTCCTTTTGCTTACTCACTCCAATAAGCCCGAAATCCCCAACCTCTTGCCCTTTCGAGACCGCATCCCTAAGTAAACCTGATAGGTCGACGTCTATTATTAACCTTTTGGTTGCAACTGCGGCTTTTGTGTGTGTCACCCCTACTGGCCCTGTCAGGTGACCTGTATCCAGTACCTAGTGAAATTTATAACGCTTATGTAATGTGTCGTACAGGTTGCCTAACGTGGAGTTTGCGTACTGGCTAGGTGGGTGGGCTGAGGGTGAGCCTGAGGGTGACATGACCTGACACGGGCGACATGACACAATACCACAATAGATTAATCGGCTCCTTTTAAACTGATACCGCATATTTAAAAACCAGGACAGATATTGGGACTCGCGCCTCACCCCCCCCGCCCCTCCCCCTCCCCCTGCTAGCACCCATGGCCCCCGTGTCATGCCCGATCAGATGGTACGATATACATACATAAGGGGGAGGCGCCACGCAGGCTACAATCCTCCCCCTGCGGTTTTCTGGTTGGCTTAGGAGCTGTGTGTCGCGGCTACTTTGTCCCGCTTGTGGTCTCACCGGTCTGTGCCGGGCACCACCTGCAGTGGTGATCGGGCTTGTGCGTGGTCCCTTTTCTTTGGTTGGTTACTTCTCCCCTGGACCAGCCCAGCAAGGGAGAGGTAGAGGAGGACAATTGTCGTGAGGTGGCGGCAAGACGTTTTGTGGTTCGAGCTCTCAACGCCTTTCTTTCTTGGAGGGCTTTTTGTTGGCTTGTTATGTGTATCAGGCGGCCTCCCCTCCCTGGGCTACCCTAGCCGTCTTATTTATTTGTTCGTGTTTTTCTTCTCTGTGCCGTTGGTTGTGTTTTGGGGGGTTGTTTCAGAGAGCCTTTGACTTTGCCCTAGCTGAGACTTGTGGACTCGCTCTAGCGGGACCTGAGAGCCCTTCGTGGTGTATTCACTGCAGCGCCATCTCCGGATGGAGTGGCTGCGGAGTGGCTGCGTAGAGTGTTGGCAGTCTGAGTCGGGGTCGGGAGCACACAAGACTAACCGACTTGTCCTGTGTGCTCCCGACCCTTGCGCTGTGTTTCGGCTTCGGCCCCCGGCTCTCACGGCCCACAGTGTAATCTAAGTCATACATACATACATACATACATACATACATACATACATACATACATACATACATTATTATGGCAGGCGGCTGGCAGAGGTTAAGGCCTGACTTCTGCTCCCAGTCGACCCAGTCGACCCGGGTTCAAATCCGCCTGCCGGCTCCTCGGGTGTTTGAGGAGTGATGTAATGGGAGGTGGCCCCCCATCATATGGACGGTGTAGGACGTGATAATATCAACTTGCGAGCTGACCAGGAACTGAGTTGATGCGCCGTTGATCCGCTAGATTTGGTTGGATGCTGGTGGTGAGTTGCCGAACCCAACGAATACATTCTGAAGTCGGATGGGGTGACGGATTAGGGTGCCCCTCTAGCAGGGGAGAGCAGGGACTGCCCCGGGAAAGGGGGCCGCTGGCGAAGTTAACCACCCTGTAACAACATACATACATACAGGGGATGGGGGTTGGAGGACAAGGGAATAGGTGAGAGGGAACCCCGAGACGGGAGAGGGAGAGGAGAAGGACGGGGAATGGAGGCGGTCACGTCGTGCAGGGAAGAACCCTTTTTCTTCCCTAGTGCCACTCCGAGGTTGTAGGGTGCTGGAGAGCCGGGGGGAGGTGGGGTCGCTCGGACAGGGGAGGGGGGAGATGGCGGTGAGAGCGCCAAAAGGACGTAGGTTTTCTGGTGTTTGGGAGGTTGAGGTCTGGTGGTGGTAGCGGGGCTCGGATGAGGGGGAGATGTGGCCCGAGGAGGGCCATTCTATTTAGACACGTCTTCTCTGTGGGACTGGGTTGCTTGGTGAGGGACGAGGGTGAGAGCGGTGTAGTACGAGACAGGGTGAATAGGTTTCCGGAGGACCAACCGTTCAGGTTAGTGGCGGTAAGGGGGAGGCGCCGCGCGGGCTACAATCCTCCCCCTGCGGTTTTCTGGAGGGTCTAGGAGCTGTGTGTCGTGGCAACGCTAACGCTTTTGTGGTTTCGCCGGACTATCCCGGGCCCCTGCAGTGGTGATCAGGCTTGTGCGGGATCCCTTTTCTTTATAAGGCTACTTCTCCCCTGGACCAGCCCAGGAAGGGACAGGTGGTGGAGGTCAGTTGTTTTAAGGTGGTTGCAAGACGTCTTGTGGTGTCGAGCTCTCTTAGCCGTTCTCTCTTGGAGGTTTTTTTTGTTGGCCTGTTAGGTATATCAGGAGCCCTCCCCTGCCGGGACTGCCCTAACCGAATTTTTGTTTGTTTGTTTGTTTTCCCTTCGAATCCCGTTTTCGTTGGTTGTGTTTTGGGGGGTTGTTTCAGAGAGCCTTTGACTTTGCCCTAGCTGAGACTTGTGGACTCGCTCTAGCGGGACCTGAGAGCCCTTCGTGGTGTATTCAATGCAGCGCCACCCCCGGATGGAGGGGCTGCGGAGTGGCTGCGTAGAGTGTTGGCAGTCTGAGTCGGGGTCGGGAGCACACAAGACTAACCGACTTGTGCTGTGTGCTCCCGACCCTTGCGCTGTGTTTCGGCTTCGGCCCCCGGCTCTCGCAGCCCACAGTGTAATCTAAGTCATACATACATACATACATACATACATACATACATACATACATACATACACATGCATACATACATACATACATACACATGCATACATACATACATACATACATACACATGCATACACATGCATACATACATACATACATGGTACACAGACACAAACGGTCGGGGCTTTCCCACAACGCAGATGACCATCCCCCTGCGGAGACTTTCGTACAGCCAAACGGCAGTACATCATGGCCGTACGAGCCCAAAGGCGGTCTGCCTCCCATAGTGGCATGGAGCAAATCGGATGATAACGGCGTGCTCCTCGTGCCGTACAGCGGGGCATTCAGGTGCGTGTCATCGCCGTACAATGGCTGAGAGGCCTACAAAGTAAATGCGGAAATGATGAGGTGAAAGAAGCATGAGTCTGTGGGCAGCAGCCTAGCCATGGGGTCTTCAACTGGTTTTACAGACAGCCTGCTACTGCTGCTGTTGGTTCTTCTATTATTGCTGCTACTACTGCAGCTGCTACTGCTACTACAATGGCTGCTACCAATGCTGTTGCTGTTGTTGCCATTACTACTGCTGCTGCTATTTCTACTACTACCGCTGTTACTACTGCTGCTGCTATTGCTACTGGTGCTACTGCTGCTGAGGGGTGCATGTGCGCGGCTTCAGCCAGTATCCTGTGTTTAGTATACATATGTATGTATGTATGTATGTGTTTTATCGTACCGAGCTGCGGAACGGAACAGGCCGCCATGTCCTGACTAATCCACCTGACATTTCCCCGAACAAGCCCCATCACCATACCTCCACCTGCCGTACAGATGCGCCTCCGACAGCTTCGATGTGCTTGAGACTCATCTGAAGCACCTGCACAGCATTCCCTGGAGCGATAGGAAGGAGGTAGGGTATCGTGTGCGCATATGTATGTGTGTATGGGCATATGGGGGGATGAATGGAAAGAAGGAGGCAAGGGAGAGCGGGGAAGGGGGAGGTAGGGAGTGAGCGGGAGGATACGCCGGGGGGAGGGAGGGGGAGAGACGTACACGAACACGCCCATGCGAAAGCCAACACAACCACGAGGGGTGGGGAGGCGGACGTTTCCTTTTCCCCCCCAACACACACACACACACACACACACACACACAACGGCGCCCCGATGCAAAGTGGGAGAGGTTCCCGGAAATGAGTGATGGGTATCGCTACCGTCAATGCTTACTACCCTGCGCCACCACCGTGGTTGGCGTTACACCGAGTTGTGGGTTGTTGGGTTTTGCTGCAGGTAGGGCAGGGGACACACAAATACACACACACACACACACACACACACACACGTCCCTGACACGCAACGCATATCTATGCGCGCACGCACACGATCCGCCTGATGTTCCCACCGCGACACACACACACACACACCAATCTCCCCTCCCTTTTCCCCACCCCAACCCCGGCTCCCCTTAGGTTGCGTTTGGCCGATGGAATGGCTTCTGCACGTACTACTATGGCACTGGTCTGGTGCGCAGCGCTGACGGCAAGGCTGTGCCATGCCCACGCATGTACCTGAACGACGTCTCAAAGGCCCGTCCTGACATGCTGGACGCATACGACCTTTCACTAGCAAAACACGTGCCCCTGGCCCACCAGAACGCCTACAAGTACATCGTCTCCACGGATGGTGGGGTTGTGGTCGGGTGATGTGATTTAATGAACGGGTATCTGTGGGAAGGAATGGAGACGTATGTATGTATGTATGTATGTATGTATGTATGTATGTATGTATGTATGTATGTATGTATGTATGTATGTATGTATGTATGACGTCGATGACACTGTGGGCTGAAAAGCCGGGGCCCCCAGAGGGCCGAAACACAGCGCGAGTCGCAACCGGGGGGCTCTTCCTACGGGCAGAAAGCACCGAATACCTCAGAAAGCTCGCACTCAGGATCTGGGGGACCGGGAGCCCGACGAGTCATCCCGGGCTGGGGAGGTCACCAAGCTCCATGTATGTATGCATGTATGTATGTGTAAAAATGTGTGTTGTTGGTTACAATCCCCAGCCGTTCCCCGTTCGAACCCACCACTCTATGTAGGTTGGTCCATAAGTTCCAAGTTCGACAAGTACCTGTTGCTCGGGTCACTGGTGCTAAAGGTTAGGAGGCCTAGGGGGTTGGGGAGGGGGAGGGGGAGGGGGAGGAACAGCTCACTGAGGGGGCGGGGAGGAGGGGAGGGGAAGGGGGGGAAGTGTCATACACGTGGACGGGGTTCGCTGGGAAGGACACGTGGGGGGGGGTAGTGGGGGGGCGTTGTGTGTACGTGGGGGGGGGGGAAGAGGAGAGGGAGGGAGGGCAGAGCGACGTTAAGTTACAGCTACTTTCCCAAGTTCTGTCCTCCCTCACCTCCACCTCCAGGCCGCCACCTCCATGCCCTGACACTGCTACTGCAACTGCTGCCCACGGGTCGGGTTCCCTCACCTCCAGGCCGCCTCCATTCGTACGGGATTTTATTACGACGCATTGGAGCCGTACGTACATTACGTACCGTACATGGAGAGACATAAAGACGACATCGTGGAGGTTAGTAACTGCTGCGGCGGTTGACTTCGTTCATGGCGTAATCCCCGGCTCCAAATCACATTTCTAATCGTACCAACCAACCAACCAACCAACCAACCCCGCCCAGCACCCCGGAGCCAAATCACGCCACCACCCAGAACCCGCGTCACACCCAAATCCCCCAACCCCCGTCATCCGCCGCTCAGTCGGCAAGCTACCCAGGGGATCAGCAGCAACACCACCCTCCATCTTAGGGCCCGATCGGATTCCCCGTTTTCCCAAGACCTCAAGGCCTCAAGACCTCAAAACCTAAGACGGCGGTTTTAGTTTCCCTCACTAAAACCCTAAAACCCCACTCGGTCCCTCACTTCCCCCAACCCCCCTAATCCCTCTCCCACTCGCATCCATCAGACTATCCAGTGGGCTCGCGACCACGACCAGGAAGCACACAACATCGCCCGGCGGGGAGTGGCCTTCGCCCGCGCCCACCTCAGCCGCCCCGCCCGCCTCTGTTACCTGTTTAGGCTACTCACTGAGCTGGCCAAGCAGTACCGGTGAGGTGAACAGAGATAGGTAGGTAAATGGATAGATGGATGGATAGGTAGATACATAGATAGGAGGTAGAGAGATTAGGGATGAACTCGAACAGCTCACGCAGAGCATGAAGTCTAATAAACAAGGACAACGAGCGAGCATGGCACGATTGGTGGAATAATACCGAACGGTGCTCACCGGTCGGCACCTTGGCCTCACGCTTACATGAGGAGGAAAGTCCGATACGATACAGCTGGTGTCGTCTTATGTCGTACACGTGTCAAACACGTATATATATACGAACTGTGCGTCAAGAGGTAACTCTTTTTTAATTTTTGTCGTACTTCGCCGTACATTTGTCGGTACCTTCGCCTGTGACCTGGTGTACGTGTACGGCTGTGCTGTACGACTCTCTCTCTCTCTCTCGTGTACACAGCTATCCTGTCAGTTGCCGGCGCCGCAACCTGTGTGTGCCGCTGGTGGAGGAGCTCAAGTTCTACTCCAAGTATAGCCAGACCGAACGCACTTGCGAGTGAGCCAAGCACGTGGGGGGGGGCGTTCGGTTCCCACGTGGGGGGTATTACATACACGGGGTCCATTCAGGCGTCACCATTGCCAACCCCGGACTACTGCCATATTTTTTCTCTGTGTTTCTGATCAGAACCTCTGCTTCCCCTTCCCCTTTCTTGCATGCTCGAGCACTCCATTTCCCACCCCTCCCTCCCTCCGACTGCATTTGTGCCGTCTTCTGTTTCTCCCCTTCCTTAGCTGCCTTTGCATTTCGTTGTAATACGTGCGCGTGTGTCTAAACGCATGTATGTATGTATGTATGTATGTATGTATGTACGCAGCTATCGGGAGCTTCTGGATAGGTACGGGGAGTCCGACCCATCGGCCGCCCCCGGCTCCACGCGGTTCGACGAGCTGTACGGCATGCACCACGACCCCCTGCACTGGCCCAGGGACGACCTCCACGTGGGTCAGCTACAGCGTTAGGGTCCGATACCTGAGCAGTAGCTGCTGTAGCAGTAACAGCAATAAACAGCAGTAGTATCGGCAGTACCCCAACAGTCTCAGAAGCCCTGATAAGAGAGTAGGCATGCACCCCTATGGAAGCACATCAGCGGTGAGGGACGCACGCGAGCGTCAACCGAAACCAATTTGTGATGTGAAGGGGGTGCGCGAGGTGTATGTATGTGTGTGTGTGAGGGGTGTGTATGTGCGAGGGTGGGGGGCCAGGGGGACCTTAGGTCAATGGAAGTGTACGAGGTTCATTTCTTCCCCGCCACCTACCCACCCACACCTACCCACCCACACATACCGGTATGATTCTGTGAAGGTAGGTATCGGGGGGTATAAGGGGGGTATAGCTTCACCTGTGGCCACCAGCCTGGCAGCCCCTCCTACCTCTTCCTCGATGTGTTTGGGCACCTTCTCAACCTTCCCACCTCTATCAGCGTTCACTGAGAATTCTGCCGGGTCACGGACGCGACGTTACCTGGTCCACTTGGTTGGCTCGCTAGTAACTAACTGTCATCAGATTCAATTCTATCGTCATACGAATAATAGGGGTGATTCCACACACTTCTACCGAGGGATATTTATCTCCCGCTCTTTGTGGGGACCGCTCCTGGAGCCTTTCAGTGACACAAGTATGTTTGTATGTATGTGCATGTGTATGGTCCGGAGGGAAAGTTGTATGTGTTGCCTCTTTGCAGGATATTGAGGGGTGTTCTACTCACTAAGGGGGTGGGGGGGTATTTGGACCCAATTTGGGATTTTTTGCTCCTTCCTGTGATTACATGACGTTGGGGTCATACACACTGCACGCTTTCCTTTCGAAATCAAAGTCGTATGTATGTATGTATGTATGTATGTTTATGCGTGTATGTGTGTATGTATGTTTATGCGTGTATGTATGTGTGTGTATATTGTGTGTGTATGCACTTCCGGCTACACTTCTTGTTCCGTGTTACAGCCCGATGTGAGATCAAGCTGATGGCAAGACAAGCTTGAGCCCATGCCCGACCCCTGAGAAAACCGAACCCTGGAACCTGTTTTAATAAGGTCTTCATCTCATATCCAGAAAGAGCTGGCTATCACCAATATGGCCGATTCACCTACCTCCACGGGGATCACAACCTGGAATGATTTACCTGCACTACCTTACCTGCTTCAGCACCACGAGTAATTAAATCAGTAAAGAAATCACCTACATGAAGCTTCTTTTCCACTTTGCTCTTTTCCCCCCCCCCTCCATATTTATCCCACACTACTGGGCAATAGTACTCTCTCACTCTCGTGACCACCTTTATCAGCCCTCCGCGTGTACATACATACACACGCCCTGTTCCTCAAACCCCCCCGCCCATCACCCCCCTCGTTGGCGTGAATCCCCCACACCCCTCCGATGCTCCTCCTCCACCTTCACCACCACCACCTCCACCACCACCACCACCTCCTGGTGGTTGTTCTTGGTGACCAAATGTCCCGAAATGGTTCCTCGTCCATTCCCGCCTACCTGCCTACCTACCCGGCGGACTACCCGGCTGCCTAACCTGGCCCTGAAGGGTTCTTCCGTACGGCCTCGATTCACACTACACAACTTGTGTACAGGTTGGGAATCCAATTCCGTAACACACATACATACATGTACACACACATAAATACACACACATAAATACACACACATAAATATACACACATATATACACACACACCTAGCCACTACTTGCTAGCCACTAGTGCTAGCTCCTGCCTAGGCTCCAGGTAGGTGGCTAGGTAGCTAGATGACGTCCACTGGTTCGGAGAGGCTGTTGACAGGGCCCACGCGGGTTATGTACATGTACAGCAGCTCGAGCAGGTTCCGTACCTTGTAGTCCATTCCCTGAGTGCATGGAACTGTTAGGGCGGGGGGAAGGGGGGAAAGGAGTTGGGAGGGGGAGAAAGGGTTGTGGGGGGGGGGGGGAGGGGCGGGGGGGGAGATCGGTCAGCACGGGGTGAAGGGTGAGGAGGGAGATTAAGGACAGACAGACGGAGCGACAGACAGGAACACAGAATACGGAGTCAAAACTGCGGCCAAAAAGGCAGCCATGCCTTATTGTTGTATTCTGGACGTATCACGGGATCTGCACCAACCAACTGACAAGAACCCAACCAACCAACAGTAACCCAACCAACTAACTAACCAACCAAAACCTCACCGTGGAAGTTATACCAACGCCGCATGAGCTCGGTCTCGCAGGTGCCGTCCCCCCTCCGCCGCACTCCCCAGCCCGGCTGCCCCAGGTCCATACCCTCCGTGTCACATCCGCACTCCGCCTGCAGGGGGGCGGGCAGGCGGGCGGGCAGGGGAGCTGTGGGGGGGTGGGGGGGTGGGTCGGCATCTCCCCCGCGGCCATCCAGTGCGGTACTTACATGCACATACCATGCATACAACAAACAAACAAACAGACAAACAAACAAACAGACAAACAAACAGACAGACAACAGACAGACAGATAGACAGACGCACACACCCCACCGTCTGCATGCTGTCGTACACTCGACGCCGTACAGTGTGGTGCTAGCGTTTGCACACATCTAAGAAGTAGCCACGCAAACTTCAGGTAAGGCAAGAATACCTTAAAAAAAGTATTGAAGGTACGTATATACGCATGTGCGCCGCCAACTACATCGGCACGCGTAAAGGATAAGAGCACGTACATGTGTACGTATGTATGTACGACATATAAACGTGTCAACCCCACTTACAATGCACCAGTGGGGAAAGTACTCGGACCTCAGGAGCGCCAGCGACATGGCCTGTGTGTGCGTATGTATGTATGTATGTATGTATGTGTGTGGATGTACGGTCAGGGGGGCGGCGCGGTGTGGGGAAGGTCCCTCGTTGTGCGTGAAGGGCTTAGGGGGAGAGGGCGGGGCCCAAACATGGCTGTACGACATGATTGACAAATGTACGACACTGGCAGGGTCCGTGACAGGCTCAGGCTCACACACTTCGTGACAGGCTCGCCACCACAACCAACAACTAACAACAACCGACAACAGCAACTAACACTACTAGCCCCTCACTTGCCATCCGAGGGACGGGGACCTGTAGCGCTAGTGAAGAGTACGGCAGTAGTGGCAGTAGCCGCCTGAGCAACGGCACCACCAGCGGCAACAGCAGCGGTATCATGATGCAGCATACATGTGCATGTGCAAGACACGACTATATAAATACACACACACACATGCGAGCTCATCACACAGTTGGTCACACACATACACATACACACACACGCGCCCGTATATACACACACGCATACACACACGCACGCGGCTAAGATTATCAAAGCACACACGGTGTATCGACACACACACACACACACACGGGGACGCACCTTCTCCCCCACTTCCCCGCTGACCCCCTCCATGGCCCCCGAGAAGGAGGTTTGGTCCAGTACGGGCCGCTCACTCGGAGCCCGCCGTACAATGTACTGCAGCCAGTTGATCACCGCGCGAATGACCAGAGGCTTGGAGCGCATGTACAACAAACCTGCGAGAACAAACCTGTTTTTGGTGTGCGTGTTTAGTGTGGTGTGGTTGTGTTTTCCACCGGCAGTATTGTTTTTCCCGGGGCAGCAGAGAGAGGAGGAAATGGTGATAGGGCGGCACACAGCCAGGTAGTGCACAGAAGAAGAAAGTCACGTGTGTGTACGTGTGTGTGTGTGTGTGTGTGTGCGTGAACGCGTGTGCGTGTGTGTTTTATTTGGAGGTGGAAAAGCGACGGAAGGGAATAGGCGGTTGGATGGACCGGTTGGGCGGTTGGGCGGATTGCCACGAAAAACATGAAATCGAATGTTCCCTTAGTAAAAAGTACCAAGTACTACAACGCATCGCGTTCCTGTGAGTTTCCGTTGTTAGCCGTACCGATGTTCGTTTTGATGTTTGACGGGAAGTGACTTTGAGGTACGGTGTCCAGCCTGGAGCTGCAGTCGCCCGTCACAAGTACGTCAATGTCGCGGGAGACGATGTACGGCAAGGGGTTTCGGAAGAAGACCTCCAGTGGATGGACGAGCACGGGTCGGGGGGGACAGCCCGGAGGGGCGGGAGGGGGAGTGGAGAAATGGGGGGGGAGCTAGGACAGGGCAGGGCAGAGGAGGATGTGTATGTATGTATGTGCCGTACGGATTTTGGAGACGAAAAAACACAAACACATGCGCGCTTTTCTTCCTGACGATTGAGTCATATGCATAATTTAAGTGCGCCGTACATGTACAGTTACCGTACCCTACAACTGCCGTACCATCGTATCACCATACCGCATACCTGATCACTATCAAGGAAAAATACGTCCAAACCGAGTGTGAGCGCGTTCAGCAGGGTCAGGGTCTTGACGAAGCTGAGGCCGAAAAAGGGCGGTGTACGGTAGCCGTAGCTACAGCAATGGGAGGCAGAAATGAATCCGTACAAATGGCCGAAAAAGTGGGAAACGTAAAATACCTTTATCAGTGATATATATATAAGTACCAGTATAAGAACATAATACTTCTATATATTACAAATATGATATTATCAATATTACTATTATCAAGACCAAAAGGAAATATCTTCTTCCAGGAAAGCGCTGCAGCAGGATCAAAATAACCCGCGGAGGGGCTACTTGTACGACTTCTTTTGCGTCATCATTTTTTGCGGCAGGAGGCGCCTCTACCGCCCGCACCGCACGCGGGGCGGCACAATAAGACTCCCAACCTATCTCTGAGTCTGTCTGCGTCCACCCTATCTTTTTCCGCGCCTCTCTGATCAACTGGGATTACGGTGGCGCACAAGTCGGCCAAAAAGACAATGCGCTATCCTCGGTGGGGGGAGTGCGGAGGGGAGGAGAGAGGGGGGGTTAGAGAGAGGGGGATAGCGGGAAGCAGGAAAAAAAGGCTTTTCCCGTACACACCTCGACACGCCAGTAGTAGTACCTGCTCAGACAGTCCATCTACCCCCACCACTACCATCCACACATCAACATCAACATCAACACGCTCGCACCACACACCGCACAAAAGCCCCCTCCGCCACACCCGCACTTACTCGTCGGCGGTGAAGACTGGGTGGTGTACGGCCACACACCTCGTGCCGTACGGACGAGATATCTGGCTGCACCGCTCTGGAGTCTCACCCGGCAACGTCATCAGTACGGCAACCAGGTGGGCGGCCAGATGGTCCTTAGATGAGAGGTGGGCGGGGGGTTTGGGGGGGAAAGAGAGGTTGGGAAGGCTCCCTGCGAAATAACCCTAGATATGCTGTAAGCGAGCAGCGCTGATGAATATGCGTATGTGCACGTGCGTGTACACGTGTCTGTCTCTTTGTATGTATGTATGTACGCTTGTGTAGTCCTCCTCTGTAGTCTCCCGCCAGTCAACCCCATCCATGTAAACCACTGCTAGGTTGCAACCGCTAACCGCTAACCGTTAACTTTCGTACCAGTGTTCCATCTCTCCGTGAGAAAGTGATAGCCTTCAGACTTGATAGAAATAAGTCCCATAGTCCTCCATTGCTAGTGTTAACGCTGCTAGTGATATTTCTGATATCGATGCCACCCTCCCTGCCGGGAATTGAACCCGAGATTCCTCCGGTAGCCCGCAGAGTGGATTCGCTCGCCATGGACATGAGAACCATTCGCCGAGGCCGCCTCTCCCTGTCCATGATGCGAAAACTGGCAGCCTGCAAAAATGCCAAAAATGTGTATACATTTTGTATAATACGATAACAATACGATGATATGGTATGATGTGTGGAACAGGGGGGTATGTCTTCACTCGTGGCAGCTACCCCGCGAAACCCTGCCTTCCCCAGTATTTCGGGGCACCCTCATACAGTCACCCTAGCCAATTTCTCAGTGGATCGCTCAGGTTCCGCACCCACCACCAGCATCCAACGGAATCTGCCGGATCAACGGCGGCTCAACTCCATTCCTGGTCAGCTTACAAGATCACTTTATCCCAGGTCACCACCGTCCATCGACTAGGGGCACTATACCTTCGACCCTGACAGGTCTCGATCACGGGATCTCCCGGGGGCAATGGTCCGTGCCTTACCAGTAGTGCCTAACCATTGTATGTATACATGTATGTTCCTATGGGCGAAAAATTTATGGATGTATTATCATGTTGTAACTGACTGGGTCTGGCATCGGTCAAAGGCAAATGGACCTGCCCCATTATTCCCGGGGAAAATGTTCCGCCAAAACACACACGCCTGGCGAATCGTTGGGGTGCGGCGTGTGGGGCGGCATGAGGAGACACAGTCGTCGTCTTCTGCGCAATATGCTGTAGGCAAAACATTGCACGGCTGGTTCAGAAGCGGCGGTGTGAATGAACTTGCCTTGTTAGGTTGGCTTATCTCACGAACCCAGCCCCGGTTGGCGAGGGGCCCCCAAAACAACAACCAACTCGTACCACATTTCAACCGCACCTTAACGGCCTCAACGAACTCCTTGCTTGGCAAGCGAGGCCCGTGGTGTATCCAGAAACTTTTTGATATGTCTGCTATTGAGATGTTGGGCCATGACCCCTCCTTTTGGCCTCCCGCCCTGGCGAGCTGCGGCGACGATGAGATGGCCCAAACCGCAAGCAGCAGATAAGCTGCTAGTGAGCCAGCTACCGTGCGCAGACAGCTGATTTTACATATGGCTCCTTTGAGCATCTCCCGACGACGCTGAATTAAGGCTTTAATGTGTTCCTTTGCGCGCCATTCGTGAAGAACTTAAATGAGCTGCTGATTTGGTTCATAACATCAAACCTCTCCTCTATACGAACTCCTACGGCCTATGCAGCAAAAACTAAAGCAGCAAGTAAAATGAGACTGTCGGACGTCGTACATCGGCTAGGTGGAGATACCCTTCGGAAGAGGATACCTTGCAATTTAAAAATTTTTGCTATACCGTGTTTACAACTGAAGGGAAAGCTTAAATAAGGTTGTCACGGCTTTCTCAGAGGCTTGCACAGTGATTCTGTAAGCTTGTAAAATTTCAGTTGAAAAACGGCTTATAATGAAGCAAATGCTATTTAAAAAAGACTCTCAAGGCATCAATGCGTGACAATTGTTTGAGGGTGCTGAGGTTTGCTCGACGGATTGCGGAACCGGAACACTCAAATCTTGCATAGGATTGCCATCTGGTGCAACCAACAGGACCAAAGACGCGGACAAGTACACTTATTTTACTAAGGTTTTTTTTGATAGCAAGGATCACAAAGCGGCGATTATAGTACGGCTGCAGGCAATTTCAGTCACAGAGGACTCTAACAGCAGGGATACTACATGATTGTGACGAAGCAACGCGTATGCGAGGCGAGCTGGATTGGGAGACATATTGGTACTTGCGCATTTCAGAGCACGGCCAGCCAAATTTTGGTTTCCAAAACTTCAGCCTAAGCCCCAAAACAAACTCGCCTTGAGGAGGAAAGCTGTCAGTCCCATAAGGCCATAAATGTTTGTGCGGCACTCCGCATATCGAGATTATGGAAACAGTAGCTACGACGGTTGGCCCATTGAGCTTTGTGCATAATCCCTTACGAAAGTGGTGTCAACACGGCCAAAATTCATGTAAACTGACGCCATCTTACAATACTTCTCATCACTTCTGCCGTTGCAAATCACCGTTCCTGGTCAATGATTGCTCTACTATCAGGCAGCCAAACTCGTCTCGCAATTTATATCCGACTGCTCCACGTTCGATTAAGGACAGCTCTCCGCAACCGTTCACCTGTCGCCTAAGTGCTGTTATCAGTAGCCGCCTTTCCGGCTGGCGACGGCCGCGATGGCGGCAAGTCAACCCTCAGCCATTGGCAAGGACCCGGCGGAGCCATCGCAGCAGCCCGCCGTTCCGACCTCCCCTAAGTCAAAGGCGACAGACGATGCCAAGCTTCTTTCAGCTCTTCGCCACGAGCTGGAGGCGAATAGAGGCCGGCTCACCCTCGAGCGGCGCAAGGAGCTGGCTGCTAAGCTGCTGGAGCACACCAACGCAAACGATACATTCTTTACGCGCCTCGGAAGCAGACTTCTAAATGTAATTTGACCTGGCATCCAACACGACCAATCTTGCCAAACAAAAATATAATTCGTAAATAACTGACCTGCACATTAAAGCATTACTCATGGCAGCGCGCTCCCGCCGCGATACGGCCTTTCTGACCATAGTGAAGACAGCGTGGCCGAAGCCTGGAATAATCCTTTTCGCGCGGGGGAGCTTGTGGAGGAAATTCCCAGAGGACCAAAAACATTGCCTTGGACTGATCGGCGGCCAAGGGCATTGGGGAGGACATGGTGGTGGCGCACCCGAGGGGAAAAGCCCCCTGTCGTGAAACCCGCGTGGCGATGACACCCCACAACACCCGACCCTTCCTGTGTTTTGGCTTCCTGTGTTGTCGTACAGGGGTGGCAACTCACCCGACTACCTCACCATGCACCACTCCACCACACACCCAACCCACCCCAAGCCGCTTTCCCCCCCCAGGCCATCTCTCTCCTTGCTTTGCATGGCCCCAGCACTCCTACCTACCAATCTACCTATCTACCTTACCTGCCTACCTACCTACCTACCTTACCTACCTGTCTACCTACCTTTCCATACCTTCCTACCTATCTATCTACCCCTGAACCCCCATTCCCACTCCCCCTCTTTCCCCCCTAACTACCACACACAATACACACATACATACATACATACATACATACAGGCTGGTGTCCAAGCTCCCTCCGTAACAGTGGAGTACCGCAACCTCCGAGTGGACACGGAGGCGCTGCTGGGGGCGGCGTCCATAGCGACTGTGGGCTCGGTGCCGCTGTCTGCGGTCAAGGTTGGTTGGTTGGTTGGTTGGTTGGGGAGCCAGTTGGGCGCACACACACGCACCGACGCACGGGGTCAGGCCCCGAATCATTTTTTTAAGAGTGTGTTGGAAACGGATTAATTTCCGCATGCCGTACATTCATTTCCTATCTTGCTCAGGCCCCCCCCCTGGACTCCCAACACCCCCTCCTCCTCCTCCTCCCCCCTCCCACTCGGCACCCCACTTCCGTGTTCGCGGTCCCAACCCACTCTCACCCCCATCCTGTCCTTAACTCTTCCATAAACTTTTCACCCTTCTCTCTCTCACACACACACACACACACAAACACACAGACAGACAGACACACACACAGACACACACACAACCCCCGTCAACTCCAATAACCTTTTCCACCTCCCGCCCTCCTCCCTTTCCCCTTCCTTCCCTCGTCTCCGCGGCGGCGGCTCCCCAGCGCCTCCTCTGTCTTGATCGCGGGCGGGAGTCCCAGCCCCTCCGCATCCTAAACGACATCCAGGGCAAGCTGGTTCCCGGCCGCCTCACGCTGCTGCTGGGACCCCCCGCCTGCGGGAAGTCCAGCTTCATGAGGGCACTGACGGGGCGGCTCCTTCCCGCGCAGGGCAATGTGCGTGGGGGTTTGGGTTTGGGGGCTTGGGTAAGGGGGGGCTGTGCGTGTGTGTTTGTGTGTGTGGGGGGGGGGAGATGTAAGTGTGGGTTTGGGGGGTTGAGGTGTGTGTGTGTGTGTATGCGTGTACGCGGTTGCGGGGGGAAGGTCCTCGGGAAATGTGGGTTGCGCTGCGCATTCACCTCTCACAGGCAGGCGGACAGACATATGGACAGACAGACAGACGCGTCGGGCCGACCTGTGTAGGTGTATATCTCGGGGGGGGGAGATGAGGCCGGACTATCTGCTGGTAGCTTAATGAGGCACATCACACTAGCAGATCGGTGGACCTCTAGCGGATAGGTTGGCTGGTCCAGCCGGTAGAGGGGACGGGTGGCTGGGCGGCTAGACGACATCCCTGCTCCTGTTGTACGACACATGCAAAACAGGTTTCTGGGGACATCCGGTACAACGGCTACAAGCTGGACGAGTTTAATGTACTGCGTACGGCAGCTTATGTCGACCAGGTACGGCAAAGAGTGGAAATTTGTTATAGAAAGGCGGCTGCAGCACCTCGCTCTGTTGTCCGTGTCCTTGTTCGCCTTTCTAATCCTCCTCTTCCTCCTCCTCCTCCTCCACCGCTTCCTCACTATGGCTAGCAGATGTCTGATATACCGCTGCGCCGCAGATATCTGCAGCAGCAGATGTGGCTGCGATGTGGGTTTGTGCCAAATAATGTAACTAATGTAATGTTTCCTTTTTTATGAGTCTTGGCCGGGCCAGTTCGTCATCCCCCCTTACTCCATCGCCGTCCCTTACCTTAATCACCGCAGCCACCGCAACTCCCACAACCACCACAACAATCACAACCACCGCAACCACCACAACCACCACAACCTAACTGGTTTGGTGGGTCCTCTCCTCCTCTCTATTCCGCACCACCGTTGATGCAGATTGACAACCACAATCCGAACCTAACCGTACGAGAAACCCTGGACTTTGCACACGCGTGTCAGGTACGTATGTATGTCTGTATGTCTTCGTGGTGTCCGGGCGTGTTGTGTGTATGTCCGGGGGGGAGGGGCCGGGGGGAGGGGCCGGGGGGAAAGGGTTTGCACTGCGCGAGGGGGCATTGTCTGCATCCACGCCAGGGCCGCAATCCACTGCCGACAGTGGGAAATGGGTATCGTGTGTCTGTGTGTGCGTATGTGTATTTACACGTCAGAAGACGCGTACGGCAAGCATTAAAGCTGGGGAAAGGAGTCGTGCGGGGTCGGGGGATACCCCTCGGTCGGTCTGGCCCCTGCGATGACGCTGCGTGAGGCTGCCAGGGAACTCGACGACCGGGGGTTGGGGGTCATTCGCACTAGCAATAGCAATAGCACTATCTCGCGGGGTGCCTGAGGCTTGAGAAGTAACGGCAGGACGCGGCTTGCGATCATGCGAAGGGGAGGGGCAAGACGAGGGACGAGGGCGGCGGATGTCTGCTCTGTCGCTATCGATGGCATCCGGGCGATGGACGCTTAACGCTGCGGTTACATACCCGCCGGGAAAATACCCCCCCCCTCCCCGCCGGGAAAATACCCCCCCCCTTCAATCGTGTGTGGTTCGTCTTTTTCCCCCCCTCCCCGTCTTGATCTCTACCTGGAGTGGCTGATGTTACCCACACCCGCCTAAGCCGCCCCAAGCTGCCTAACCTCCCCAACCCCGGATAGACCGAAGCCGGATCTTGTCGGTTTTAAAAGGTTGCTGTTTTTTTAGAGCTGTCTTTGATGACGCCACAACGGTCTCCTCTCAGAACCTCGGCAAACACATGCTAATTGCGAACTGTAAATCAGCATCAGCAGATTTCGTGCACATTTGCCGTACACATGCCGTATTTGACGCGTTCGTTGTATTTTTTTGACTGTCGTATATGTGTGTTTCTCCTCCCTTGGTAAATTTGCGTATAATGTAGGTCGGCCTCCACGGTGCGAATTTCGACCTGCCTGCTGAGCTAGCGGCGCATCGCATTGCGTCCAAGAAGGATCTTGCTCACCAGTCGGCTGTCGCCACCGCCGCCGCCGCCGACGGCAAGAACGGGGACTCAAATTACGGCAGTGTCGTAACGCCGACGAGCGGCTCCGTTATCGACACTAACGGCAATAACCACCCTAACGGTAACGGTAACGGTAGCCACGTGGGATCACAGCCCTCTGGCAACTCCCGGCTACTCCGAGTCCTCCGACAGCCCCGCAATGAGCCATCGCTGCTGGAGCAGGCGGTAAGGGAAGGGGAGGGAGAAACGGAGGGTACGTCGTGCTGACATACATACATACATACATACTTAGCCGCACCATACAAAATGGGCATAACTTAGCCGCACCATACTGCGACTAGAGCCCTGACCAATACCGCTACCACGGTCCGCAATCTTTATGGCTATTTTGATTACAACGTCTAAATGCCATATTAAATTCGACGCAACAAATGTTGCAAACTAGAGCGGCGAAGACCGCTGACCGACCAAAAATTCAAACTGGTCGGAAGACAGCAACGGCCACAAGGCCGCAAACGACCCAGAGGAAAGTAAAACGAGAGGAATTTACTCCTCTCGAACTTAACATTCTCGCGTCACCGACGGAGCGGCTCTTCGTGCTCTGTCCGGAGACATGGGAATTGGTCGCGCATTGGCCACCGGGCTCCGACATTTCAGATGTCTACGCTCAGAGCTATGGGCGACTTGTAGAGCACATAATTTCTAAGTTGAAATTATGGGCAAAATCAACGGACTTGGAGGCATTGGAAGGGCCCGCAGTGACGAAGCGGCGCATCTTTCCAATGAAGGATAAGCGCGTTGCGATGGAGATCTCAGTCCTGATGCCACCGGGCAGCTTGGCAAGGCTCACCAACAGCGAGCTTCTCAGGGAGGGGCGCCTACAGCTAGGCGGAGTGGAGTTCTACCCCGGCCAGGAGCCGGTAAACGTGGAACTAACGGTTAAAGGCTTGGATAAGATAGTGCCGCGTCGGTG